ACTTTAATCAACTGATTCCGCAATAAGGCTCGACCGTGCAGAGCTCAAAAATCCTCAACTGTTACCCTAAACTTTGAATAGAATCATGGCGAGCATTCTGTAAAATAGTTCATTTGAGCCTGGTAATGGGACCCACTCCATTCAAGCAAGTTGTACAATCTCAAGCACATTCGGCTCGTAATCAGTTGACGATGTGGGAAAAGGTCCTAAGGTAAGAAGCTCAGGGACCGCCGAGGTCGGCAGCTAGGATCGGATGGAGGCCTTCGTGCAAATGGTAACGATGGAGAAAGCATTACTACATTGTATTTGTGTGTGGTATTAAAAAAGTAGGTACACAGAATAATTTCCAAACCCAGAACTATTGCGATACCTGGAAATCCAAAGCTATTGAACACTTAATATTCCTGCACGTCGTGAAACCATGGGATCTATTTAAGTACAAGAATTCAGTTGAACGATTCCTAGTAACTCTTCATGATCTGTTGGATCATGGAGAATTAGTAAGAAACAAATATTAATATTATTATTATTTGGTGGACGAGTTTGTAATTAAAGTGCGAAATTTTTTAAAATTTCGATGAAAACTCAAATGTGAAACAAGAGAAAAACTTTCTAGAACGGCAGTCCTCATTAACCACCTGCGAAATAGTGAACCACGTTGGTAGAAGAAATCACTGAGACTGATCAATACAGAGACTATCGATCAATGCCCTGACTTTTTGGTGGGATAATTACTTGGGAGGTCAGCCATTGACAGGGCAGATAGCCGGGGAAAAAGCGCGAAAGGTTGTAGAAAGTTCCACGAGGTGGCTTTCATATGGATAGATAGCATTTTTCATGGGGATTCGAATGGTGTAACTAGGACTGGGATTTTCTTTCTATGAAAATCATCTGAAATGGGCTTAGAAATGGTCTTGAAGTTGGCACCCGATAACAACTGCCAGCCTGAATTATGCCGCTGTTTTCTCCGAAGCCGGAAGCACAGGACGTACTGTATAAAGCTTTTCTTGGAACTCGTGAAGCCACTCAGAGCGCTGGAAGTCCTGTCTGAAAACGCTGAAAATCGAGCATTTGTTCTAGTATCGCACGAAGCGACCATTTCAGGTAGTTGAAAAAACCCTTCTGCTCAACTTCATTCTTGAAAATCGCGAACATTAGGGAAAACAGGCTCCATATGTTAGACACGTTGTACTCGTGTGGTCCGAACTGAACCACAGCTCGAGATTTTCTGAACTGAAAAGGCTATTTCGTTCGAAAGTGACATCGAGCGAAACCTCTCAATTTTCAGGAAAATCGGCAACAAAATAATCAGCAGCATCTGGAAAACGCAACTATTTAGCTTTCAATCGCTTCTCACGCGATGAATTACGTTATTTGATTCCTGGATGATTCAATTCCCAACAATTACCCTCTGGTTACAAGTATAGCGAGGTTGGCTTGCTAACGAGTGCCCTCAGATGCTTCGATAGGAAGCAGAGTTCCATTTTCGACTTTTTTAGATTTTCAGGATGCCAGTCTACAGAGATCGACGAGTTGAGTCTAACAGTATAGGGTTCTGTATGAATAAAGCTTACACAAAATGAGTTATGGCGAAAACGCGGATCTCCGTTTTTTCGTCTTTTTTTTCAAAAATTACAGCGGGTATTGTACTTCGAAGCTATTCATCATATTCTATGGAGCCAGTGGAGCTTTCCGAGGTCTCTGGCTATAAATCATTACTGTACCTCAAGTCATGATATAGCCGATTTGAACCGGAAATCAAGGAAAGAGTGGCAGTGAAACATGATTTTCAGCTTAACCTTGCCGAAACCCTGTCATTAAAAGTACCAAAATAACCATGGAATCATGCTCTTTCTGAATATGCTGGTATTTATGGCTTTAAGGTACTTGGTTTGAAGTTCATAATTGGATTGGATGGAAGACATGGAATAGCATTGTATGTCTTCAGTTGACAGCATTCCATGTCTTCAGAGTTAAATTCTATCTGAATGCAATAATTACAGTTTTGACGGCAACCCTTGCAGTATTTCCTTATAGGGGTTTTTGAAAGGCGACAATTGAAAAAGAGGTGGTGAAGTGGAATCGGTGACTGCTTCTGATAAAGGTGGAATCCTATTGCGCTCATGTGATTTACAGTTGGACAAAATTGAACCTAATGTAAACGAGCTTAGTGTGTGACGGCTGCCCATTAGGCTGTTGACTGCTATTGACAGCCAAACGGTCCTGCTCTCCCTAAAAACAATCGCGCGATCCCGAGGTGAACACTACTTCCCTCCAGTCTACAGGTTCGACCTCCAGCTCCTCAGCACGCGATCAGAATTACCTTACGAGCGCCATTTCCCATATTTTCACTCACCTGATCACATAAAATATAGCAGCGGCAACAATGATTACAAGTAGAAGTCCTGCAGCTACCGACGCAAGGGTGATAGCTAAATACTGTTCGACGAAGGACAGCGGGCATCCTTTGCTAAAACATTTCTGGACTTTGTTTCACAATGTAATGACAATAAATGGTAGAAAGAAGGATGACGCTTCTTTCTACCCTTTACTTTCGATACAACTGATATGGCCTGATCCGAAGAATACAAAGAAAAAACTTGAAAGGACCAATATTCACCCGTCGTAATCGCAGAGAGGACGATTAAGCGGTTTCGAACCACCATGAGTCATCCAGAGTACGGAATCCGGCTGGACACTGTCCATCTAAGAAGGACCAGTTTTAATTGAGTTTGAAATCAGGAATGGAAGTGATGTAGTGGCAAGTGACAGCGCCTACCACGCTTGAGAATCGGGGATCGTAACCAACAAAACCTACCATCCTTCCGAAATCAGTTGACATCAAACAGATCCCAAGGATGTATGAAGGACATTAATTAGTAGGGCTCCCGCAATTATCATGTGCGACAAGTCTCGTTCAAAATCCCAGTACGATTCTGAGTGGAAGCATGCGAATTACGGGAAGGGACTAATATGCTCAGAAAGCCTTACCATTTTTGTATTTTGAATCGATCTATTGGCATTAGAATGACAGAATGACTCCATTTGGGGTCAAATTAACTTTTACAAAAACGTTAATATAATGATAGGTGGGGAAGAAGGTCCTGCAACATTTTGAACGAATGGTTCTAAAAGAAAAATCAAAGCATATTTTGATCGTTAAAAGATGATCGCTGAAAAAAGACCTCTAATTGTCGGTAGGGTTGTGGTTTTGTGAAAGCTTTGAGAGCTTGCAAGTCCTCTAGAGGTCGAGGTATTTTCCAACTTTTTCTATACAACGAAATCCTGCAGGACTACACTATCGTAATTTAGGGAGCTCACACCTGCGTTCTCTTCAGGAAGCATGTCTCGCTCCCCGTCCAGAAGCTGGAGATATTATTTATGTCAATTAAAGGTGACCAACGACTGATCGTCCACCGGAAACGAATGGTGATGTTCGCTCAGCACCCAGAGCGCAGAGCTGGTTATATTAGGTTGTTCGGAAAGGAATGCGCGTTTGAGTGTAAAAAATTTTTTATTATAAAAACGAAATTAAACAAGGTCAATCTAAAAGATAATCTCCATTACTAGCAGTGACTTGTTGCCAACTGTACGCAAAAACTTCACCAAAAGAGCCTCTTTCACTACTTTTCTCCCCGGGTGTGTCGTCAGGTCCGCCGGAGAGGAAATGCAGGTCAAAAGAGCCTCTTTTTGTCAGTTTTCTCGCCGAGTGTGTCACTAGGTCCGCTCGCTGCCCCTGTGAGCCAAGTGGGTCATTAGGTCCACCCAAGTGCGTCGTTAGGACTTGCTTGAAGTCTTACCACATACAAGCTCGCATTCGAAATTTTTGGTCGAGCATTTTCTAAACTTTTTTCTCTAAAGACAAGGTAGACATAGAAAAAATATATCAAAAGATGCGCAATAAAAACCTCTCTCCAATGGATAAAACTTTTGAAAAATCTTCTATAGTGAAGAGAAATAAAAAGACAAAGTCAACGCGCATTCCTTCCCGAACAATCTAATATCTCCGAATTGCGCCTGCATGACAAGTATTGAATTTCTCCACCACGTCGGTTATTGGGACAACTTCCCATGATGAGCACCGTGAGAAGTGCGTCACTCTGGCAGTGCTGATCGTTTCTTGCTCTTCCAATACATTGGGAAAACTTTTTGACAGACATTGTTGCTGATAACAAGATCTGGGTTCAGTACGTACATCATGCATGTGCATGTCAGGATCTCAAGGAGAAAACCGTCCTGAGAACTAAATGAAAATCTGCATGGAAAAAGATTGCAATGTGCTTTCTAAAGAGACCAATGCGATGTCGCTGAATACTGGCACAGTAGTGATGCTATGCTCTGCATGCTTTGATTAGCTACAAGGAGGCTAACATCACGCTTGAATTCCAACGAGAAGGCCCAATCCCGCCCTCCTTCAAGCGATCGCAAAGACCACATCTTCTCAGAATAACATCCAGAAAATTATTGATCTCGGCTGGTGAGTACAACTGCTTCTTGCTTACTTGCAAACAAAACTTACCACCTCTAACTTCCACCTACTCAGGTCAAACGTATGTCCTGAAGTAGAAGAAATGCTCTGCTTGCACCTTTGTGTCGCAGCGACATGGCTATTCTGGTCCACATCCCCTCCGATCACTTTTGAATCCAACTTCTTCTCGTTCAAAGTCAAGATTACTTGCTACTATTGAAGAACAACTCACTCTTTTGATGAGCGGCAGTAGATGACCTTATCACTGATGGCGATACTATCTTTCATCAACAACATTAACGGATTCTGTTCGAAGCATTTCACTTCTGTATGCCAGGTGCACTCAAGTGTAAGGTCTTTAATGAGAGAGAATGCACGAAGCAGTAGCAGGTTGAGGCGGCGCAGATTCACGAAGCTGTGAAGCACTTTATTTTCGTGGCCAGCTGAAAGAAAAAAGAAACATAAGGAGAGGTCCTGGCAATGCTCGTTGTCCGGTCACCACTTCGCCTCAGTGAGCGTTGCCGTCTGGTGCCTATGAAAGTGGGCGTAGGTCAGATTGACCCCGACATGAAATTGAATGCTGCAGAGATAAACTCACCACGATACCTTCCGCTGTTACCGTTCCGACGATTTTCATCATGACAATCTGCTGATCAGTAGAGTTCAGTCCCCAGACGTAGAAAACGGGATCACGCGTGTTGTTCACATTGATGATGACCTTTCCCGTGAAACCTACAACGTCTGCGTTCAGAAAAGAAAAAAGGCTACGCAGTGACTTTGTTCCTCCCACTCCAACTAATCGCGCTTTCGCAAGCAGCGTAGCCCCTGTTTCTGAAAGATTACTATGTTTGAATTAAAAGCTCACCATCGAAAGACCCCACCGCGTAGTCACTTATTTGGGCACCTGTGGGGTTGAGATTGCCCTTTGCGATCGACTTGTTGAGCGCTAAAGCGTACATCAGCATTGCATCAGCTACTTCACCAACCTGAGCAACTGCCTGAATATCAAATATTCTTTATTACTTATATACGCTTTCCTGAAGCTCGCATTCAAGCTCCAACTCCTTCAAAATTGAAGGAAGTTTCAGATATAGGGAAAGTCTTCCACTGTGAACGCCATTTTCAGAGAATCTTCCATACCGGATCGACACTGGTGCAGTCTTGGCAGTTATAGGGTGGCTGCTTCATCTTTGTCAAAACGTCCGCAACGAATTTCGTTGTCGAATTCAGCGGTTCTGCATCAATCTGAAGAAATTCAAAGAACTAGTCGAAGAGTGGAGATGCCTATAAAACATGGTGCAGTCCACAATAAATTTCTTACAATGAAGAACTTGCGAGCTGCTCTCAGAGCCAGCGCATCTTTGCCATCACCAGGCACTCTTTTGTCCTTCCAAATTTCGGCTGAAAACCATAGATTCATTTCAGAATAAAGAAACAGAGCCGAAGTCAAGGGTATCTGCTCCAGTTGTATTTCATATCCCAAGCTCAGTTCTGCTCCCTGAGGAGCTGTCACATCGCGGCTCGAGCTGTTTGGTCGCACCGCGCATTCGCTCGTTCGAGTCGCCGGGCAGAGACGCACTTTCTCCCTCTAGTGTCCTTAGTCGTCCACGTTGTGGTTCTATTATGCTCACTTCGCACATTGCCTACCTCTTTTCATTTGTCCATCAGCACTCTTTGCGTGATGGTGAAGTCCGCTGCTCCACGTGGTGCCACTGGGAACTGCCCGCTTCTGCGGGCTGACCCGGAAAGGTCAACAGGTCGGCCTGGCCATTTGCAATGAGATGCACATCACTGTATTCACCTTGACACGGTGAACTCAGAACTGCCTTGAAAATTTGCAGAACGATCCTCTGAGCGGAGTTATGGAGGTTTCTTTACTGTTTTTCTTCTTACGGGCGCGCTGGCGTCGAAGCGTTGGCACATGTAGCGCGACTCGCAGCTCCGTTCGCGCAAAACAGGTATCATATTCGTGTACGAATCGGATAACCGCAGAGACGTCACCTTAGCCAAATCGAGCTTCTGATTGAACTTCGAAAAAATGGGGTGTGGATAGTCATGGCTGACTGATAGCCAACATCGATACTATGACTAGCATACAGTACCCGCCGTAGGTGTTCAAAAAATTACGAAAAAAATGTTAATCCGCGTCCTTTTCGTTTTCTCTTTATATAGCATTCATCTTGACTTTTTGTATGAATACCCATATATGGCTAGAATCAGCTCGCCCAGCTGTATCCGAGGGTATGCTCATATTCTGCGACGATTTTGGCCGGCGCCTTTTGGCGCCACAACTTTTCTCAACAACATCTGTATAAACTTGCTGGGGCTATTCAGTGCCCGTTCACCATGGTGGCATTCATTTCTAGCCGTGGCGCCATTTGGCGCCATTAGGTGCCAATTTGGCGCCACTGAGCGCCAGTTCGGCGACACGACCTTGCCAAAAAAAATCTGTATAAACTTGCATAATGGGGTTTATCGGTGCCCTGATCTTAAAAGTAACATTCATTCCTAGCCGTAGCGCCGTTCGGTGCCAATTGGTGCCGATTTGACGCCACTACTTTTTTCCCCGAAATCTTTATAAACCCGCAGCCTGGTTTGTGGAATGGTCACGTGATCGTCATTTGCAGAGCATACAAAAATCGTGTGAGCTCGCGGCGCAGGCGTTATGCGCCCACCATAGCCGTTTGTTCACATGCTTACTGCATGTCTTTATGGTGTACATTCACGTGACCATTATAATACATGAAGTCTGAGCCGACCAATGCATATTGATCGGACTCTGCATCAGTGTAACTGATGAAGGGAACTTCAAAGTCAGGGGTCAAGAGTCGGCCAAAACATACCTCAGATCACCAAACCAACTAGAGTGGTCTCACTGCGTGCATATGAAAATCTTGTGCGTTTGGCACGTGTTTACCGCCGGCGTCAAAGCAGTTCGCAACAGCAGACCAACACAGCTCAGTGATTTTTGTATGCTCTGCAAGTGACAATCACGTGACCATTCCACAAACCAGGCTGCGACTTTATAAAGATTTTGGTGAAAAATTAGTGGCACCGAACGGCGCCATGGCTAGGAATGAATGTTACTTTGAAGATCAGGGCACCGATGAACCCCTTTATGCAGTTTATATAGATTTTTGGCAAAGTCCTGTCGCCGAACTGGCGCTCAGTGGCGCCAAATTGCCACCTAATGGCGCTAAGTGGCGCCACGGCTAGAAATGAATGCCACTATCGCAAACAGGGCACTGAATAGCCCCAGTAAGCAAGTTTATACAGATGTTGTTGAGAAAAGTTGTGGCGCTAAGGTGTCGCCAAAAGGCGCCAAATGGCGACAAACGGCGCCGGCCAAAACTCAATGTCGCAGAATATGAGCACACCCTCGGATACAGCTCGGCGAGCTGATTCTAGCCATATATGGGTATTCATACAAAAAGCCAACAGGAACAGATATAAATAAAAAACCAAAAAAACGCGGATTAGCGTTTTTCGTAATTATTTGAGCACTTACGGCGGGTACTGTACTGGTGATGACCGGTTTTCGGACTGAAATAACTCTTCAGACATGTCTTTCCGCGAACAAGAGTACCTGGCTAACTTATTGGTGCCGTCTGCATCATTTTCTTGACTATCGGGAAGAAATCCCATTCCGAGACCAGTCATCGATGGTAGGTGAGCTTTCAATTTGCTGCTAATTATCCATAGAATAGCCACATTTTTCAGGTATCACCTGTCACTGTGCTCCCGTTGATCATCGAGTTCCTCGAAGCGGGCACCAGTAACGTGTCCATTTCGTCCCCGCAACGTGCAAGAGTTGCCCAACGGACTCTCTCTGCTCGAGGGACACGATGAACTTATCCCATTCGTTCAGAGCTTTCACGAAGAAGTCTGACCATCGCAATAGGCGGTCGTCCAGGTGTTCGCTTGACATCCCGTGGAATCCAGTCGGTGATCGCTCTGGTCCAGCGGTCGTCCTCAAAACGCATGACGTGTCCGGCTCACCCCATGATCTTCGAAACTTGGCAAATGCGGGCTGCGTCTCTGATCTTCGATCGTCGGCGGAGTGCGGAGTTCCGGGCTCTCTGGGCTCTCTGTCTTGCGTGTAGCGGAAAAACTCGAGCATCCCCTTTCAATAGCGCATTGAAAGGGCGATGCTCGGAGCTGAAAGGTGTATAACGCCAACCGCATGTTCATCCTGCTTTTCGTAAGAGTCCAAGTCTCTGAGGCGTACGTCAAGGCAGGAAGGACGCGGAATCGAAGAGGTGGGCATAGAGCTTTGGTGTTCTTCGTCTTCTTCGCTACTCCCTCGATGCTCTTGAAGGCTCCCTGAGCCGCTCGCTTCCCCTGCTCAGCTCTGGTGCTAAATCGTTCATCATATTGATTTCACGACCCAGGTACACATAGCTAGAGCATTCAGAGATGGTCGTTCGTTGAGCGTGAATGGGGCATCAGAAATCAAGCCGTTTTTCATAAACATCGTCTTCGTTATATTCAGCCGGTAGACCGATTTTTCCACACGCGCAGTCGAAATCAGCCAGCATTCGTTCGCTTGCTCGATGTTTGGTGTTATCAAAACGATGTCGTCAGCAAAGCGGAGATGGTGTAGTTGCCGACCGTCGATCTTCACTCCCATGTCTTCCCATTCAGTGTGACGCATGACGTTCTCGAGAGAGGCGCTGAAGAGCTTCGGCGAGATGGTGTCGCCCTGTCGGACCCCTCTCTTCACATCGATGAAGATCTCCTTGTACAATGGTGAGATCTTGGTCGTGAAGTTGCTGTAGAGCTCACGAAGAATCCTGATGTACTGAGTAGGAATACCCTGGTTGCCCAGGCCTTCGATAACCGCTTCTGTCTCAACGGAGTCGAAGGCTTTCTTCAAGTCGATGAACGTGAGACGTAAACGGCATCTTGTACTCTCGCGATACTTCAATGAGCTTCGTTACGTGTGGATGTGATCAATCATGCTGAATCCTCTTCGAAACCCTGCTTGCTCGCATGGCTGTCCTTTCGTCTAGTGTTCTGCCAATCCTATTCAGGATGACTCGTGTGAAAAGTTTGTAGACTACATACAGCAGGCAGATTGGGCGATAATTGCCAATGTCGTACAGGTCTCCCTTCTTGTACAGCAACACAGTCTTGCTGGTTTTAAACGAGGTGGGTACCTGATTTCCGACAGGTAGCGCGTGAAGAGTCGAACCAGAGTTTTTGACAAGAACTGGCGGAAGAGTCTTCAGATGTCCAGGTCCGATCTGTCGGGACCGGGTGCCATACGATTCCTCACCGACGAGATGGCATGTTTGACTTCGGAAGGAGAACTGCAGGAACGACGCATCCATCTTGCTCCAAGCGGCTATGGTAGCAGATGGACGAGGCTGTCAAAGAGATCAGAGTAGAAGACTTGGATGACCTTCTCCATTGCCCTTCTGGATACGGTGATTGTTCCATCCGGACGTCGGAGGGCGGTCATCTTGGTCTTACAGTTGGTGAAGTCGCGGCGGGGCGTTGCGTATGCTCTTACCAGCCTCTGCGGCTTCCACCAGTACCGCTGCTCTTCTCTCCTTGAGTGTTCCTTTATCGCTTCTCTGCATAGCTTCGCAAGCTCAGACGTCAGATGGTAATTGCCTGCGGCTCGCGCGGCCTCCATGTTGGCGAATCAGCTCGAGAGTTTCCAGAGATAACGCTTCTTGCTAATCTTGGAACTCTCTGGCTTCTTGGCGCAGTCGTGAAGGTATGCGACAAGCCGTTCGTCTTCCTCGTCGATGTTGTCGATTATGGAATCCTCCCAGAGCCCAGCAAGAGAAGGAAGTGATCCCAGTTGATGAAGGTCTCGGGGGCTTTGCTTCTTGAAACTTTAGGCTCTTCTCCTCGCATCGTGAAGCGGAATCTTGCGCGAAGGAGACGGTGGTCGGCGTCACGTGACGTGTAAAAACTTAGGAACAACAGCGACATCGGTCAAGCAAAACCCTCGATTGAAGATGATGTGGTCGATCTCATTATGGAATTGTCCACCAGGAGACTCGCATGTCCAGCGTGGAGAGTAGGGCTCCTGGAAGTGCGAGTTACCATGGATGGTATGGGTCGACATGATAAATCAGAACAGCCTTTCACCCTGCTCATTCCATGCCGTTCCGTGAGTTCCGATGTGAAGTTCTTCAGCCGTTCTTCTTGGTCGTTCTCTTAGCATCTTAGCGTTGAAATCACCGACGATGACCTTGAAGAAGGTATGATCTTCCTTGTAGAACTTCTCCAATTCCATATAGAACGCTTCGAGCTCATCCTCGTCGTAGCTTGATGTTGGTGCGTAGGCGACGAAGATTGTCAAAGCTGGAGTTGAACCACATCTCTCAATCGCAAAGGCCGATTCGGGTCGTCAGATTTTCATACGAATCGATGTTCATGGCCAAGTGCGTGTTGACGAGGATGCCCACACACGCCTCTGCTGTCGCATGTTCCGAGGAATAGTTCTTCTCCAGTCTCGTAAACGGCGTGTAGCGGGCGATGCCTCCTCGTCCCGGTTAGTCCGATGACGTCGTACTTGATCTTCCTGGCTTGCAACATCAGATCTTCGATGTGAGCTTCCGTTGCAAGCGTCCGTGCGTTGAAAGTACAGATCGTCATCTTAGTCCGGCGATTTAAATCTCCG